AAATTCCAAAACATGAAGAGCAGCTGCTCTGCAATGTGAGCTTACGGGATGAATTTCTTCCCTATTTTTAAACAGTTTTCTGTATTTTACATTTTCAGTAATAAGCAGACATTACTTTGATAATCAGGAATAAAAGTAAACAAACAAAATTTTTATAGGCATTGAAGCAATAATCAGCTGAACCGTTGTTTATATAAAAAACAAAAAAAACAGTACCATAAACTCTAGGTTGGGGCCTTCCGATGGAAAAAGAACAAAATGAAGAGCACACAAGGCTGTTTCCTACCCAAACTTTTCCCCATTTGACAGTAAACCGAAGTACTAACAATACAGGAGGAACTAACATTTAAGTGACAGTATCTTTAACAGAATGCTTACCCTGGGAAGATAAATACAGCACACAGTATGATAAATATGCTGCCAGGGTGCCTGAAGGACTGCCCCAAAATGCTAACGATCATCTCTATACGATGAGATTTCAATGAGTTTCTTCATTCTTGTTTACAATAAACATATACTAATTTAGTGACAGAAAAACTAATAAAGCTCTTTCCACTATGAAAAAATAAAAGCAAAAAGTACTAGAAAAAAAAACATCTAATCTGAAGAGGACAGTGAAAGGCCAATGCTAACAAATGAAGGATTCCAGCAGGGTCTTTGTCAAGCGGATTAACTGACCATTCTTCACTTTTCAAGGAGCCTAGCTGACTCTGGTCCCTGAAGCAGATGCCCTAACTGCTGAGTAAAGAATACCTGCTAGGTCCACAGGCTTATACCAGGAAGCAATAAAAACACACAGCATGCATTGCACAGGCAGAATTCCTTAGGAAATGTACAAGAAGCTGGTCCAGCTGGGGTGAGGGCCAGGGCCCTAACTATTTTGAGGCCTGATCTGTGCTCAGAAAAGGCCAGCCTTGGCAGGTGTGATGGTGTATGCTTGTAATCTTAGTACTCTGGGAGGCTGAGGCAGGAGACTGACAAATTCCAGCCCAGCCTAAGCATTTTAGTAATTTAGTGAGACTCTCAAAACAATAAAAAGAGCTGAAGATGCAGCAAGAATGAAAACAAAAAGACATGAATGAAAGAAAGTAAGTCAGCCTAAACTATAAAACTCCTCCTTGAGCTGATGCTAGGAAAGAGGGCAGAAAGATAGCAAGTGAGCTTTGAGGGTTTAAGTGTGAAGTATTCCAAGGATGCTTTTGAGACAGAGTCTCACTCTGTTGTTCAGGCTACCCTTGAACTCACTATGAAGTTCAAGTTGGCCTCAAACTCAAGAAAATCCTCCTGCCTCAGCCTCCTAAGTACCTGGCCTTTCAAGGGTACTTTCAAGCATCCCAGAGAAACCCTTCAAGGTAGAAATTACCAATCTCTTTTTATAGGGGAGTGGGGTGGGGTGGGGGAGCCAAGAGTCAATAGCTTTCGCGAGGTCACTGGACATCAACAAAGAATAGTATTTTTTTTTTTTTTTTTACATGATAAGGCTTCTAGGTCCTTATCTTGCACATGTATATTTGCAGAATTACATGTGAAGCTTTTTAAACACATACACTCCTAGGCAGACATACAAAATCAGAAAATGCAGGAGCAAGGCCCAGGAATCCAGGTAATATTCTTCCCAGGTGACTTGTGGCTGGCCTACAACTAGCCTTCTACTTGGCAGTCCAGAAGGAAAGCAGCTGGTCACCTTCTGCCTAGCTTCAAACTGCTTTCCTTGCTCTGACCTATTCCTTCTTGACTGCCCATCCTGCCCATGCTCCAGTCCAACTTCATAACATGATGCTTCTACTGAGAGTAGGGGGCTTTGGAGCCTATCAAGCCCTTTACAGTACACTAAACACCAATAATTCTATCTCCTAAATGCTGGTAAATTCACCTCCTTACCTCTCTCCTCACCTGGCATGGCTCAGGCTATCATCACCTCCTGGCTGGATTTCTGCACCAGTCTTCCTGGTCACTGTGCCTCCAGTCTTGCTCCCTACAGTCTGTTTTCTACCATGCCACCATAATCATCTTTCATAAACTCCTCAGTATCTGAAAATATTTTTCAGATAATCTGAAATGATCTCTTCACTATCTGAAAAAAATTTTTTTTCAAGAAATTTACTATGATGATGCTGGGCATGGTGGCACATGCCTATAATCCCAGCACTCAGGAGGCTGAGGCAGGAGGATCCCTGTGAGTTTGATGCCAGCTTGGGCTGTGTAGTGAATCCAGGCCAGCCTAAACTACATGGCAAGACCCTGTCTCAAAAAAAGAAAAAAGAAAAAAAAAAAGGAAGAAAGAAATTACCATATGAAAATCTCTTGGGATGCATTTAAAAAACTCCTGGCCCCTACCATATACTCATTGGTTAATCTTTGGGAGTGGGGCTTCAGGTACCTGTATTTTTTTTTTTTTTTTTTTTTTTACGGGGAATCAATTTCAGGACTTTGTGCTTGCCAGGCAGGCGCTGATGCTGCTGAGCTATATCCCCGGCCCTGGGTACCTGTATTTTTATAAGC